TGTTTCTTACTATGTCACTCAAGAATTATTTTGGAGCGGCACTAGGCAACTGCCTTCAAGTTTTCTTCATATTACGAAGAAATTCCAGTTTAAAATAATTTACACTGTTCTAACAGATCCACTGTACTTCAAGAATCACGTGTGTCCTTATGGTAAAGAGTTCTGTACTCGATTGATGACTGCTTTAAGACTATGAAAGTTTTCTTACTGGACATAGCTATCTAATACTAGCATTTTCACTAGTAGAATCACAACATATTGATGTAACAAATATATTGTATATTTCTTCAATAAAATTGCAAGTCAGTTGCTAGATAGGAGGCTCAGGATACTAGTAACATGTGGAAGAGAAGGTGCTTGGTATCAAAATGAATCTTGTCACTTCTAAAGTGCTGAAGGATTTCATCTCTAGTCTAATTAACCATGAAGTCTGTGTTCTGGCTATTTCTGCAGAAAGAAAACAATGTTGTTGCTGGCCTACCACAATATATGCACTTTTCACTAAGTATAATTGAAATCTAATACCTGGAATCCTCTTGGAAAGATTTGGTGAAAAATGAGCTGGCAACTGCTTAGAGCAGGATGTACAGGTTGCCTTCAGGTTTTCTTTGTCTGTGTCAAGGGCCTTTTGAGGGTCTTTTTTTTAAGTGTTCATCAACAGTCCTATGGCTTGTTGATTCTAACAGTGTTGCATAAATTATTTAAGGCATGTACATAACTTTTCAATTAACAAACTGCTTGGCTCATGAAAATACATACACACAATTTACAAGTAGAAAATCTAGACTAAATATCTCGTGATGAGCAGGTCTCTATGAATTAAAAATGACTTTTCAAATAAAATATTAAATGATATCTGAAATTAAATAAAACATTGGGAAATTAAAGTTTCCCAGTTAAATAGGTTTACTACTTAACTACTTCTGTAAATCAAATTATGGCTACTCATTCAGCAGGCTTTAAATTTAGATATTAAAAGATTCTAGAATGGAACATGTTAGAAAATACAGCTAAGATAAATATTTTAAGTGTTATTACCAATGGAATCAAAGCTGTAAAGAACAAGAAGAGTTAAAGACAGACCACTGAATATCCATTTGATGTGCCTTTTAGTTGGTTCATGAACATATTCAGAGTGTGCTAGCAGCATTTTCAGCTTCTATAACAAGTCCAGTATAAATACTTTAGTCAAGTATACAAAACAAAAGTCTTACTGCTCCAATGCATGTCTATTTTGAGTGCTGATACATATGTGAGTACTAATATAAACCTACTCATTTTTTTATTTTCCTAGTCCAAACAAAAAAAATTAAATTGCAGCACCTCTGTAGCAATAAATTTGCTTCCCATATTTTTTACTAGTGTTCTTACGTCCCAGAGATTCTAATATACTGGCACTAAGCAAGCAGACTAAATTTCTAAGTCAAGGTAAAAATTCTACATACCATTAACTGATACATCAACAGGTCCATTAAAAAAGTTATCTTGTTACTAAAAAGAATATAGGTGCAGTTTTCTATACAATTACTGCAGGTCAGGTTGTAAGCATGTACTGTATTGCAGAGTGACCTAAAAAGTAAAAATAAAAAGGAATGTCAACAATTTGTATTTAATTTTATTAATCTAGAAAAACAAATATTGATATTAGGCAACCTATAATTCAGTAATTTAAATACAAATTAACTTATTTTCCACAGAAAACACAAATTAGCATTAAGTAGATAAAATAACTATTGACACAAATGCAATTGTTTTCAGCGTAGCCACATATTCCAAATTCTGCATTGTATTTGTTTTAGAACTGGAATTTGGATTTAAAACTAAATTATGTACCTTGAAATATGTTTTTTTTTAAAACTAAGCTCACATATATTAATGTGTGCAGACAACTGTGTATTTATGCGTGCGCATGCGTACATATTAGGACAAAGGTTTATATCAGGTATGCGCACATGTGTGCACACAACACCGCTTTCCTTCAACAAAAACTTTTTTTGATATTTTTCATTTTCATTATAGCTCCACTAGAATACTGTATGTGAACGAGTATAGATGTAGTATCAGGTAACTGCACCATTTGAAAAGGTAACATTTTACTATCAGCACATGACATCAGAGTCACAGGTAGAAAGCTATAAGCATTTCTTGCAGGTAAAGCAGTAACATCATCCTGCTTTACAGAAGGGCTGGCTTGCACTCTCAGTGAACCAGTCAGAGGACAGCAGGTGGTAACGTAATTTCTGCTTGACAAAAGAACAATGAACAGGTGAAATGCCAGCCTTTTGCATCAGTCTGCATGTCACCTGAAAGGCTATTCTGGACTTATGAATCACTGGTGTACCCATTATGGAGTCAGAAAGCATGAATGTATAAGAACAATAGCTGTGAAGAGATCTGTATTTACATGTCTGAATGGAAGAAAGGTGGCATGTTTATAACTGTACAAGGGAGAGAACTCATTCTGGAAAATTGGGAAGAGAAAAAGGAAATAGTTAAACAATATAAGTCATAATGGTTCAAAATACAGGCCTTATTCTTTTCAACATTCCACTTCATTTACACCTGTTCAAGGTGAATCCTTTAGTTGTGACAAGGCTTTCATGGAAGTTGGAACCAAACCTATGACACTCAGTCACACAAAAGGTACACGAGACCAAGGATCGTATCACTTCTAGTATAAATGTAAAACTCATTTGTTGATGAAGTTTCTCCTTAAAAATGTCTTTGCTTGCCTATTAATAAGCACAAAGGCACAATGACAAAATATATAAAACAACAATAATAAAACCAATAAACAACTTAATCTTTCTAAAGGGGAGCAGAGACGCAGGTTATTTTTATACCTAATTTTAAATACCCAGGAAATCTCCAGCAACTCCTTGCAATCGGGGACAATTGTCTTCCATGATGGTCTTATCTGGGGTTCAGAAAATGGCTGATAAGACCAATCTGGGATCAACAGACTGTGATGTAACTCAGGCATGTGTTTCCATGTGGGGTCAGTGGCACTTGCCACCCAGGAAGTACTCACATACTAGTGTGATGGGGGCCTAAGCAGGTTCAATAGACTACACAAAAACAGAGTGCTTTAGTGAAAATTCACACTTTAAAATGGCTAAGTAGCACTAACTGACAAACTTCTTTAAAGAAGCTGTGAAATAGATATTAGATATGAGTAATAGTAAATTAATTTAAAACCTGAGACCTGAAGAAGAATGCATTTCATTCAAAAGCTTGCCTAAGTCTATCTAAACCATGGTCCAATAAAAGGTATCACCCACAAAAAACCTTGTCTCTAGCACATTTCCTGGACCATCATAGTTGTAATATCACTCCAAACTACCAAATTAATTTATTTCCAAAAATATAACTGGGTTTAATGTTTTGTTTTTCTTGAAACTGGCAAATGTTAAAATGGAATAAAACTAAATAGAGTCATAGCCAATAGTATTTACTCAATATCACCATATTATTAATTGTATTGTAATATTCTACTGTCTTGTTATAAATTAACATATTCATTTCGACTGGAAGGTAATCTTTTGGTAATGTGGTTAAAATGGAATAAGTACAGTATCTAATCACTACTTACTGAGCAGCAGAGTTTCAATTTGTTTGGTTTCAATCTACAGTGATAATCCCCATGGAAAATTAAGTTAGCATGCTTCTTATGTATACTATTTAAAACTAAATGTATCCTGTGCAACTAAGTTCTCTCTTCCTGTTGTAATTTTAGAGGTTTATATCTTTCATTTCTGTTCGCAACAGTAATATTGAAAAATTACTCCTCAGATGACTTAGTTATACTTCTTAGTGATGATAAATTAATACATAAACACATGGAGCTAGGGTCAGCCAGAGACAGCAGCAGTGGCAGTAGTTCTCTTT